TCTATCTATCTATCTATCTATCTATCTATCTATCTATCTATCTATCTCTCTCTCTGTCTATCTATCTATCTATCTATCTATCTATCTATCTATCTATCTCTATACCTATCTATCTATCTATCTATCTATCTATCTATCTATGTTTCTATCTATGTTTCTATCTATCTGCACCGGCAAGCCGGAAAAACGTTCGGTGCGTGTGGGCGCCGCGAGAAGCATCCACTCGACCGAGGACATGGTGCAAGTATAGTTTTTGCTAGGGTACGGGAACCATGTAGTCAACCTCGCAGGCATCCCCGCCGAAACTCAATCCAAATTCATGGACTTGAACTCATGTCACTTTCGGTTCTCTATGGATTTCGCGAGTTACGGGTTGTCCTGGGAACTCGTATCCTACGCGCGGCTGCGGTCTGCTCTGTACATGGGTCCCTGTCTCCACTCCAGTGCTCAATGCCCATTGTCCAAATAGCCTCCACAGCCCTTCATATGCTAATGATGCACTACTCGGCACCAAGCTCCGGGTTCACCCTCTCAAATTGTGCCTTTTAGCAGCCTCCCCCCCCACACCCCCTTAACTCACTTCGTTCGCTCTAAAAGCTCAAGCCTAGCCTATCGGCTGGCTTTCGTAATATATATAGTATAACTGTCATGTAAAAATAACCTTCAGACGGCCAGAAATCTTCAAGATCTACTGCTATACCCAACTTCATCCACCTTGGTAGCCAATGGTAAGTTAGAATGATTTGATGGGCTGTCGTCATCCCAAACCAAAAGGACATGATCTCAGGATTTTCAGGTCGCCCGGAAAGCGGTCCAGGGCGGTGCCTTGCGACGATGCGACGCCACAATGTGCTTGGCCACGGTCAAGTCTTGGGTCTCATCACGGATGTCCTGCGGGTGGAGAGTGGCGTTGAGTCTACTGAGCGCCTGGGCCTGCTCTCGACTGCATGTAAATTCTGAGGTGCTTGTGCAGGGGGAAGTTGAGCCTTCCTCCTAATGATCTTCGTGCATGCTCCACAACTCTCTGAGATCCATCTGCCACCTCATGTGCATCATTCCACAACTAGACACCATACATACATATCATATGCATCGTCGTTACGACTTCATGGGTGACGTCGGGGCCAACCGCCCCAGGGACCCAAACTCTGTCACTACAAAATGCATGGATGTCAAGGAGTGAGACCTTGCAAAATGATTGGGGGTGGTATAGTCAAGAACTGCTCCGTAAAGATTCTTGTGGATAGTTATATTCTGGGGCAATCACTACAATTCAATGAAAAGAAATAAAAGATACAGTAGTAGGGGTTGTAGCCTACTCCTGCAGTCACTGGAGTTGGGGCCCGAAAATTGAAGAAAAGTGACGTCAGGTCCCGTGATTCTATATGGCGGTATGGCATTATTCTTTGATATGTGTTGTGCACTTTACATGATCTTGGTGCAAGCTGTTGCTCCAAAAGCTGCAGAAAACAAATGAAAGCAACCTTTTGTACAAAACAGTTTCTCCACCACGAAGTCCTTACAGAGTTAGGGGCCTAAACGTCATTTCCCTTTGGATACTATAAAATGATTGGCCTAAAGGTCATGATCATATAAAAATAAGTTTAAAAAAGAAAAAAAACTGTTATATGGGCCTTGAGGTCATCCGTTCTATAAAGGAAATGTTGATGTCGACATACATTCATACATGTACTGAAAAACACTTGTGGGTATCCATTAGAGGGTCAGACTGAGATGAAGTATGTTGTTCTTGCTCTCAATTCATGCTAACCCACAGCAGCAAAGAGATGCCCACGCAATCGCCAAGGCCACAGCGCCTGCATCACGAAGAAGAGGTCAAAACGCGACATGATCGGAGGGCTCAGCTCGCAGTTCTTGTGCAGGGGGAGTGTGGCCCTTGGCGGAAGTTTGAATAGTGCGGCACTCTTGATTCCTCAAGAACACTCTTGGATTTCTTATGATTTCTCCCAATCACCGAATGTACCAGGTTAGACATCTTAATAGTGATCCCAGGCACGAGAGACATACCTTGCTGGGGAGTGCAGGGAACTCGGGGCTTAAGACTTCCGTGTCTACACTGATGCAGGTTGGGCACTGCGCATGATTGAGTAAATAGTAACTGCAAATGTTAAGTTTCCCTAAAAATCTAGAAGCCAAATCATTAGTCATTAGTGCGAGCGCTTCTTCAAGGAAGCTTCCCTGCCGCCTTTAGGGCGGCGGGGGTAGCTTCCTTGAAGAAGCGTGAGCTATCCTGCGTCCAGTTACTAGTAGCTACCAGCTACTACTAGCTACCTGTGGCGCACAATGCGCTAGTTACTAACAGCATCCTTTAGCCAGCATGCAAATGCATGCACCGAAGGGAAACTGGTGCTGAGAAGGGGTTACAAGAGGATTCTGTGCAAGGGATCGATGAGGTATGGTGTTGAGCCACATCCGTACTCGAGACAAACCCCGACCAAGTGATTCCAGCTTGTCACAAATCTCCGCTGGGTCCTTCGTTGCTTCCCGCGCTCATAGACAGCCATGTGACTGGTAGTAGGTGTTCTTCGGCAAAACCGATGCCAAAATGGAACAGCGGGCCTGGGACATTGATGAACATGCAGTCAATGCAGTACAACATTCCAGAAATTGAAGTCGTTATCACAATTTCCACAGATCCTCAGTTCTGCAGCCTCCACTCTTTACAGCCAAGCTGCGTTCAACGTGGCCTGAATGCCAGCCTGCATGGGGGTTGTGCAAGACCGAATCCAAAATGGAGACCTTCAATGTGTGTTGATGAGGCAACTGACACCACCTTCGCAACCAGCAGCAGTTGCAGTCCTTCAGACCTCCCCCTAACGGTTGGATATCTCTCAAAGTCGTACCCTCAATGAGACAATCATACTACAACTGCAATCGTATGCAAAAGAAACATCAATACCAAATTACCTCGTGTCATATTCTTGTCTATTCTCTTACAGTAGTACTTCTTTTATGCGTGTCCCAATCATACCATCTTCTTTGTGTGACCCTCCGTCCTGCCTTGGACAAGGTGATGGTCTGCTGTTCCATGGCTTCATGGATTGCAACCATGTCCTCGCCAGCATCGCATGTGGTGAACGAATGTGAACGAGGCAAAACGCTGATTCAAGATGGATAGGATAGGCAAAGGATATATTTCATCAGATTGTTGTCTTCTCGGACAGGACTAGGCTCACCATGCCTTTGTGATAGCTTAGACTCAGATCCAAAGAGGCCTTCTTTGTGCAAAAAGATATGTCCGATACTCACAATGCCCGATACGATGCAGATGCTCAGACTCAAAGGTCCCACCTTGATATCCATGAGCTCGAACTCATCAATGCAGCAAACACCATTGTCCTCCGAGGCTGCAATGATTAGCACAGCAAGTGGTTCTTTTCTACTATAAAGGAGTGAAAAGAGGGGTCTGAAGAATTGATGGGCTGCAAGACAAAGAAACCGATCTCTTCAAATGACTATTGTTCAAATCAACTTGATGGAAATCCGAGTGGCTAGAATTGACATGTTTCTGGCAAAGAAATGGTATCGGCATCGGGCATGGTATCTTCTGACTCCACCCCACCTCCGTCGTATCGAGTATCGAAACACCAGCAACGTTGCATCTGAGGCTCCGCAAGCATCAAAGCACCGGGCTCGATGAGCCGTTCATTGTCCAGGTCATTGTCCTGAAACCATGTCGTTCTCCAAGGGCTCGGTGGGGCGATCGGCTGGGGCGAAAACATAGAGCAAGCGGTTACGATGGGCCACATGGGCAAGACTTGCTAGAGTCAAAGGAAACAAATCAGCAGGATTGTTACTGTATTGCAATTGTGAGGTTTCATTTGGCTCCAGGGCACACGAGATATGTTTTGTGTTGACCTATGTTGACCTTGGCTGCCACACAAATCCGCTCACCAGTGGTCAGAAGCTGGTGACAGCGATTCGACCCTCGATATCCCTTGATGACCAACAAGTGCCTCGCTACTAGGAACAAGTGCATCGCTACTAGTAGTAACAAGTGCCTTACTAGTAGTAACAAGAAGCTAAAAAAAAAAAAAAAAAAACACATATGATTCTGATTTGGGTACTTCGACCTACTTCGACCCTCGATATCCCTTGACCCGATCAAAAACTAGCAAACCCCGCCCACCAGTGCAGGCCTTCACCACTGATGCTGTCAAACCTGCGGCAGTGGAGCTTTTGCCCGAGGTGAAGACCGCACGCCTTGGCTGATCTTTATGAAAGGGATGGGGTTCTCATGGGTCTTCTGTGGTCGCAGATCTAATTCGGGTCTGTTGGGTCATGGCATCTGCATCCGCATCATACGAGCCCTCTTTTCCAGGCTTTTCGAGGTGTTACAAATGCCAGGGGCTATGAAACTATCCCTCTGCATCAACAACATGAAAAAAAACATGTCTGCAACATCCTGCAACCCCAGTTCTTTCCCCATACACTCAAAATACATTGTGAGCCTCGACATCCCGTTTAGCACTTGAAACATTAGAAGTTACTTCATACGCTAAAACAGTCTCATACGGCATCCAACTTCCAGAAGACGGTCTGAAAAAGATACGTCCAAAACAAAAACAAGCTGTTGTTCAGGCGTTTGTTTGACAAGCAGTACGGAAGCATGGCATATTTTCAAGAGTATTATGTATGGTTCACTTGATGCATCTCCGCTGATCAGTGGGATCTTCTGCAACAAACCCAACCCAACCACTCATCAACGAGCAGCGGAAGGAATTTGGACACCCATCGCAACATCTCACTCTTTCCAGTTGCAGGATCGCCCAACCTAAGTTTTGCAGGGCCTGAAGGAAGTTGCAAACACCTCTCAACACAAGCCCTTGGATGTTAGGTGGATATGTACACAAATGACAAGAAACACACCATCATCATGCTTGTAGCATGGCTCGTTCCGCATTCCTTTTCCAAGATGTGTGGTTTTCCTTTAGAATTGCTTCAAAGCAACAAGCAAACGTTGACGTCTCCACGAAGCTGAATTCCCTCCATGGTCGATTTCTTCACACCACCTGATTCGGTGCCGTGCTGATTCGGTGCGGACTTGCGGTCTTATGCGAGTGGCTCCAGTAGAAACGGCTGGCCGCCACTTTGGACAGGACAATTCTGAGTGCCCTGCCAACCAGCATCAACAAGATGCCCTGCAAGCATGAGCATGGACAAGACTGCAACGTTAACATCATTAATTAACCCGATTATGGGGATGGGGAGATGATCCGAACAATGTCATGTCCCTGAAAAAGACCAGGGATGCCTTCCGATGAATGTCAATCCGTCGCCTTCTTCACTTCCAGATAGCCGCTGATGCTTGGGGCCACTGCGCGAGCCAACAAGTCCAGGCAGTCACGCTTCCCACTCACATTCACGTGCTCAGAGATCTGCTCAAAACGTTCCTGTACAATTAAGACCAGCCAGGTTCGAAAATCATCTTCCCTGAAGGTACAAAATGGTACAAAGGCAAAGCAAGTGCCAGGGAACAGGTCTGCGCCTTGTCGACCTGCGACAGGTACATCTTTTCTTCAGATCGAATGTTCTCGCTCTTCTCCTCGCTGCCGCGGCTTGCCCAATCCGAGTCCTGCAACACTGTGGAGCAAAACCTTGACCGTGGAGGCTTGGGAACCCCTAAAAGGGCATCGCCTAGGCATGGACTTCCTGGAATGCTGACCTTTCATGACCTTTCCACACTGCTTCCCTGCATGCCCCCCAAAGAAGGCCACCTCATCAATGTAGGTGCCAAAGAATGCCAGCTTGTAGGTGAGGTCCCTGTTTCCAACGGACTTCAGGCCGCGGATTCCCTCACCAGCAGCATAGGATGGATCCGACCTTCACGAGCGAATATGAAAAATCGACAGCGGGGAGCGCAGAGTTCCCACATAGCACGAGCGAAACGAGTTCAAAGACATATAACGCCATGCAATACATTGCCCAGTGCATCCTAAACTGAAATGGTTGACTTGGGCAGCTTCGATTGGCTTGCCAGGACAGCTTAAAGTGAGCTTGAAATCATCCCTTCCCGCAACATCACATGTACTTACATCATCATACATCTACCCACCTCACCTGGTGTTCAAAGATCTCCGCACCGTGGCCTTCAGCTCACCAGGGCTCATCAAAGTAGGTACATCTGGGACGACAATCAGCGATCCGGTGATCTGGATCTTGTCACCTGCCTTACACTTCTCGGTACAGTCATCTCTTACAATGACATCCATGGTCTGTGGCATGGATCCTGCTGGGACTTCATGCTCATTCTCTTGTAAGCGAACACGTTGCCAATCTCCCCATCGAGTCGAACGGCTCTCCGCAAGCAGGCTCCAATTCGTGGTGTTGCCACAGTTCTTCGTTGGACACTTCGGCGGTGTTGTCACTTTGAACTCTTGCGATACACCGCTGATTTCCCGGCGGCACTCGTTGCATTTCCATGTGGCCACTAAGAGCTCTGGCTTGATATCGGTGGTGCGTGTGACTGTACCACAAATCGTCACAAGCCTGGCGTTGGCTAGGCAAGCAGGAGTCTCACTCATGCTCCCGCAAAGGGTGCTAAAGAAATACGTGTGCTTCATTCGTTACAGGTAAGAATCCCTCCTTCGTGCCAACAAAACCATGCAAAACCCACAGTTCACAAGATCAGTTCTTTGAATCCGATTTTAACCTATGCCGCGCTGCCTGCCAAGCTTTTCAGTTCGCAGGTCTCGGATGCCACTGTAGGTCGCCAGGTCATAGAAGGCGACCGTAAACTTGAGCCTGAAGCGAACGCTCGACAACTCGGCAATCCAAACGGTAAGTTTGATAGACAAACGCTGATCTTGCACCCAAGAAGCTCGTCCATCTTTTCCACCTGCAGACGCAACACACTGAAAACTGCACTCTCTAGAGCAAGGCACTCCTTGTGCCACTCTTGCTGGGCCATCCTACTGTTTCAATATGCTCTGTGGGTTCGAATCCTCAAGACTCAAGCCAACACAGGCATCCCAAAAAACGCTTTCGCGGCTGTCCAGACCATTGCGCATTTTGAAGTCCATGAGAGTTGTAAGGAACTACGTATCAAAAATTGAACCGTTGTACATTATCGGTGAGTCCAGCGGGCCTCTGCTTGCAAGTCAGGATCTTCCAAGTTTGAAAGCAGTTGCGGCAGCGCAGCCTCCCAGCATTTAGAGGGACAGGAAAGGATTGGTTGGAGCTAGATATGACGGCATCCTTGCGAAGGAGGACGCTGGGAAACTCAAGTTGTTTGAGGCTAACATAACATAACTTAACTTCATATTGTTCTAGAGGCCCGTTGCCTGGCCCATGCTGGCTAGGTCCTCCCATCAAGCCCAGGGACTTGCACACAAGTCATATTGGGTGGGTTGAATGGTTTGTGTATCAACTTTAAGCGAAAAAGAAGCGTTCAAGTAGCCATGTCTGAATGAAGCAACACTTAATATATATATATATATGTGTGTGTGTGCCTGTGGTGCATGTGGCACATACATAATATTCATAGATAGGATCCGCATTCAGCGGCCATCTCTGATATATAAAACCATGGGTCATGGATGTACAAACACATATATGTTATATAGATATATACTGTATACATATATATATAGCGTTATATTACGTGTATACATATAATTACATATCGTTATTGTAAATATGATACAATGGCGTCGCCGAGTGTCATTGACGGCATCTCGCACAACCATGTACTTGCTGTGGATGACAGCGATCAGATCTTCAGGTTCGAAGGAGACAACATCTCGGTCAGCCTCTGGCACGCAAAAGGCTCTTAGGAGCAAGGACGCTACTAGGGGCTCCTGGCATCGCTACTAGGAGCAAGGATGCTACTATCGGATCTTGCTGTGGAAAGTCGGATGCTTGAAGAAACTTGACTGGAGCCGTTTACAGCTGAAGTTGACTGCAAGTGGCTCACGCGGTCAAAACAAGAACTGACCCATAGAACAGCCTGCTCCAAATGACCCATCTTCACATACAGGGTCTTCTTGTTTTCCCGCACCATTGCCTTGGCAGGCTGAATGCCAGGATTTGCACTGAAGAAATCATCTCTGTGCCAAAGCTTGGCTTTAGATTTGAAAGAAAGCCACTAAAAACTACTGATACTATCAAATCTGGCCACACGGTAAGCATGTAAGGCCGTGTAAGGCATGGTGAATGGCATCTAATGATGTTGCTCTGTTTGCTTTGAGTTTGTCGAGTAGTTTGATGGTTCTGTGACAAAGAGTGGACAAGAGTGGACAATGCCTTCCCCGGTCGTTCTTTGCACCTGCCACCGCCTGTCGTCTTTCAAGCCGTAGCGCTTTCGCTTGGCTCACATAGTAAAGGTCATCCTCACGGCCTCCATCTTCGGTTGGTCGCTTGAAGGTCTGTAAAAACCTTAGGTCACCAGTCACCAGTCTTCCTAAGAATCCCACCCTTTCCATCGCTTCTCATCCTGTGTGGACCATGTTGGACCGGAGTACAGTTTCCTGATTGTAAAATATTGCCAAGTTTGTATGTTCAGCAAGGAGTGGATCGCTCAGCATAAATTGCCGTGTTAATGAAACGCTTCCTTCACCTTGTTCCACGTTGGGTTGAAGGACAAAGGATCCACCCTCCGCAAACTTGCTGTGGCAAGAAACAAATACAAAACGAAAGTATATTTGTTGAAACAACTGGTGTGCTGATGTATAGGACTTACCTGCCAGTTGTGGGGTCTCCAAACTACCGGTCTCACAGTGCCGAGATTCTCCAGGAAGTATTTTTGCACACGCTGTACCAGGTGGCTGCGCGTGTGGGGATCCATGACCTCAGCAATGAGATCAGGCAAAACCTCCATCAAAATCCAGGGCCACAGCACCAAACCCTACGCCAGTGTGAAGCTTCTCCAAGAACAGCAAAAATACAATCATTTCTTGTTGAACATGCATCCCCTTGAATCAACTTGGGCGCACCATGATGGCCAAGACAGCCCAAAACATCAGGGTCAGCCAGCCCAGTCTTCATGGTTTAAGTTTCATCATGACAATCAGTGGAGAATACCTTTGCATGACAATCCACGGTGTTTCTCACAAAATACTTTTATCAAAATGAACCTCCCCCAACAGCTGTTTGTGAATCGTGTGTGTGTGTGACAAACACAAAACACATATGTGACTCCAGAAGTTTTGAAGAGCAGAAAGAGCCATGCAAATTATATGATGATACCTCTTTCTGCAGGTATACCATGTGCCTTACAATACATGCATTGTTTTACTTTAAGGCCATCTTTGTATTAATTTGTTCAACCCCAAACACGAGCCGCTAAAACTGAGTTGTCTGCCTTCAAAAAGCTCTTGGACCTGAGCCCTGCAATAGGTCAGATGCTATGTTGAGCCAGCAGACTGCGAGATGATGCTGAACTCTTTGGGTTGAGCCATTCCAATAACCAATGATGGTCACGCGCATTGCATTTGGATTGTACCATATGAAGGATATGGAAAAAGAATGCCACTCACTGCACACGAAGCAGTACAAGCTTCTGTTGTTTCAACATAGCGGAAATCTCAAAACTCGAGGCAAACCATCAACTCCTTCTACGACCTCTCATGCCCGAAACCACTCCTCGAAGGCGGAAAGAAAGCTTGAACTCCTTCGTCCTTTGCCTTTGCCCTTCCTTGAATATCGCCGGACGGTCCAGCGAGGGAATAACACCCTTGGATCGACGTGGTTCCGCGTTGAGCTGGTAAGTTCGAGATCATTCGCAACAGTTCGTAAACACCTTATTTGAAAGGCCAAGCAGTGCCTCCGCCCAAAAATTTGGCTGCTTAATCTGGGCCTCTACATGGAAAGTCGACATGCATCTACAGTATGTCTATTTCAATATAAATTGATAACCACCTAGTCATGACAAAGTTCATGTTGTATGTCCGACAACCGCCAAGGATAGATTCGAAACGTGCCTCCCTTTGCAAGGAAGGCTTCAACCACTCCCAGGTTCATGACGAGCGGATTTGCACTCCAAGACACGATGAAGGGCGCGACCCACCCTTTTGCCACTCTTCGTCCTTACCATACCACAAGCCAGCAGGACTAAAGAAAGGACTGCACACTGCACACAAGTGATAGAAGGGGAGTATATGCACTAAAACTTTGTTAGCACGGCTACGGGGAAAAGTCGCGTGCCGCTTTTACCTACCGTGCAAAACGCACCGGGGCTCCGCTACCACTGAAACAACGCACCGGCTCCCCTATTTTCCAGCGCTCCTGAGCCTTGACAGGCTGTTCAATCAACGGTCAGGCCAAGGCCTCTTTAAAGGGTTGTTCTATACCCTAAACCTTTTCCAATCTGAGTTTGTCTTGATGTATCTCATTGATAACTCCCCCTGTGTTTGCAGGTGTCAATGTCCTCCTCCACAGGCTGACCCTTCTCAGCAGGCCTTCCCAAGGGAGCCTTAACGTAAGCAGAAGCGTTTCATCTCAGCAATGGAACCTATGGCAACCTATGGAAACCAAATTTGGAAATATGGGTTACAACCGTAGAAGAGATGGACAAACAATTGTGAGATAGTTCTGCTCTATATCAACTGTCCAACACCTGCATTTCCGCGAATTGGCGAAAGGAGAGGTCAAAGAGTTGCCGAGCCGGTGGGGGAGTGGCGTGCAAGTATGAGCTGCTTGCCGAAAAACACTTATGTGCGTTTGGCTTTCAAACGTCTAGAACTACTGGAATCAGCATTTGGCATTAAATGAAGAGCTTCCAAAGTGAGGCTAAATCCAGCTTCCAGGCTATGAAGCCATATAAGTATGTTGTTTCAGGTGGAGCTAGAGCTATCCAAGGTCGGAGCTGAGTTCTTGCCCCATTTGCCTCAGTTGGAGGAGATGAGAAGGAAAACTCGGTGAAGACGGAAGCTGGCTGGGCCCCTTTAATAGGCCCCCTTTAAAGCCTTATCAAAGGGGCCCAAACAGCTTCCTTCTTCTCCTCATACTCCTTGCTCCTCCATGCCAAAAAGGGGCTGTTGAAGCAAAGGTGCTCAGACAAAAAATGCGGACCAATGGGCTGATGAATCTGTTGGTTATGTTCATGGATTGACGGAAGCTAGCTCATCTTGGCTGCAATTTCAACCCTTGGCCTGCCTTTGCCACGAGATTCTCGCGAAAAGGCTCCCGTCTTGGGACGCTCCTGGATGACCCGGATCCAAACGGACGCTTTGTTCAGGCTACGGACTGGCCAACTGCCAGATACCGTTGCGAATAGCCATGCCGCCGTCATATGCTCTCTTAAGAAAGAAATCCTCCGGCAAAGCGAACGGAAAGCTAGTCTCAGCTGCCCTCCTCCCGCTGCTCCCCGATCTCTTTCTGCAGCCTTAGCATCTTCTCCTCCCCAAGTGTGGTTGAAGAGATGGTCTCAGCATTTAACTTCGCACGACATGAAATGTGGTTGCGAAAGTTCTGATCTGGCCGTACTCAATAGGCTAGGATCCAGACAATCGGAGTGACATTCTACCCCTGTCTTCTAAAAAGTAAAACTGGCGGATGTAGAGTGTGAGCATTCAAGTTATGTATCTTTCAGGGGCCTCATGAAGGGTTGACCCACCTAAGAAGGCGCGTGGTATCCATGCTCTCAATTGTGATGGGGCTTTCTTGGTGACCAATCGACTCATTGGAGTTGTCACAACCGCCGCTTATCATTGGCCAAGATTCCGCCTAGTGACATCCTCGGTCCCATGTACACTGTATTCTGAGCCAAAACGATGCAGGAATTCCTTGGCATGCAGTTTATTCCAACCTTGTGAACTTCAACCCACTTCGTGACTGGAATCTAGGTTGAGCCATTGAGACTCGACATAGTCCATGTTGCAAACTCACTATATATTTACTCGCTACATAGTGTACATTGGGGATGGTCAACGAGTCAACTGCCACGCTTTGCCTCATCCTTTGCCCGTCCACCAGCCAATGGCGCTGTTTTTTTTCATGACTTTCGCGTTCCATCCCTGCGGGCCTCATTCCGCACCCACTCAGTAACCTCAAAGCTTCATCCAAACATCACGGCACAAAAAAGGAGCAATCACCCGTCTAAGCCGCTTAGCCCGGGTTTTGAACACCTCAAGTTGGGGGAACCCAAAGGTGCCAGTTCCAGCCTTCTTTCGCAGGTCAGGTGAGCGGGAACAGTCCTCCAGGCCTAGACACAAAAGACGCAGGTTGTGAACTGAACCAACACACTGCTTCCTGCAATTTCATTTCATATGCATTTATCAAAGGAAGTTTAGTGTGCAAAACTTCCGTGTTACGGACATTCAACAGCTGTTCAACCACCACTCATCATACACCACTCATCATACACCACTCATCACACACCACTCATCACACACCACTCGTCATACACTACTCATCATACACCACTCATCACACACCACTCATCATACACCACTCATCACACACCACTGATCACACACCACTCATCATACACCACTCATCATACACCACTCATCACACACTACACCACTCATCATACACCACTCATCACACACCACTCATCACACACCACTCATCACACACTACTCATCATACACCACTCATCACACACCACTCATCATACACCGCTCATCACACACCACTGATCACACACCACTCATCATACACCACTCATCATACACCACTGATCACACACCACTCATCATACACCACTCATCATACACCACTCATCACACACTACTCATCATACACCACTCATCACACACCACTCATCAGATTGCGTGGCAGGTGCAGCACTTTGTGAACCTCCATGTGCAGATTTCGTGGCAGGCACAGGACTTTGCGAACCTCCATGTGCAGATTTGGTGGCAGGTGCAGCACTTTGTGAACCTCCATGTGCAGATTTCGTGGCAGGCACAGCACTTTGTGCACCTCCATGTGCAGATTTCGCGTCAGGCGCAATACAAAATGCGTTGTGGAGAGATAGCGAACGCACGAAAGGCTGTATTTTTCAATGGAACCGATGGCTCCGAAGCTGGCAAGTCAAGGTTTGCGGAACGACGGGCGCGAGACGGTCTCGGGTCATGCTCGAATCGTCCGTCCATTGGGATTAGAGTTTTCACTTGTTTCTTGAAGCGCAGATTTCGTGGCAGGTGCAGCACTTTGTGAACCTCCATGTGCAGACTTCGTGGCAGGTGCAGCACTTTGTGCACCTCCATGTGCAGATTTCCTGGCAGGCACAGAACTTTGGGAACCTCCATGCGCAGATTTCGTGGCAGGCACAACACTTTGTGAACCTCCATGTGCAGATTTCGTGGCAGGTGCAGCACTTGGTGACCCTCCATGCGCAGATTTCGTGGCAGGTGTAGCACTTTGTGAACCTCCATGCGCAGATTTCTTCGCAGCTGGAAGCTGAGAACTGGCGACTTTGTAGTACAACTTTAGTACGCGGAGGAATCTGTGAGCTGGACCAATACTTTCGTTTGCCGTAGGCTTGGCTCCTTTATGCTGCCTGTGGGGGTGCGCCGCAGATTTTTCGTAAACAGTGACGGAGTACGTCGTTGCGGACTGCTCTACCACAGCCTTCGTTGACCGCGCTGAGCAAACATGCATGGGACGAGGTGAAGAAAAGCAAAGCTGTGGGTGGTGTGCTGTAGGCATGAGATGCATGGGCAAAAAAAGAGGAGAGCTTTTCTACGGACCATGAATGTCATGTGTTTCCGAAGCCGTTTCTTAATTGTAGTTGTTTCTTATTTGAGGCGTACATCGAGATGGAGAGACAGCGCAGAGTTGGTGCGCGAGTGTTGAAGCACTCACGCTTTTCTGCGTGGCGTGTGGTGGTGTGACCTGCGTTGCGGTGGAAATTGTAAATTCGAAGTCCTGTGTAACTAAATTCATTCCGACGCGCGGTGGTGTGACCCGCGTCATGTAGCCACCCTCGTAGCTAGAGAACCACCCCCGCCGCCCGTTGTTCCACCTCGTCCAGCCCTGCCAGAGGCGCTGGGTGAACCATTCCTTGCTCTTGTCGGGAGGCATCGATCTGCGTGCGTCGCTGTGGACCGCGCAGACAGCCGGAAAATGCATTGCCCGACGAGGAACAGTTTCGCTGTTTTTGCACGGAGGAGCACACCAAATGTTGGAAGAAATGGTTTTGACTTTGAAAACACCACCCACTTCGCGTGCCCGCAGCAGCTGCATTTAACTTTCAATTGCAGATGCCCAGTTGCTTCAGCACGCCGGTGTGGGCTGCTGATCTTGCCTGGGTATAGCACAGACCTTGCACAGGTGGCACTGTGGTGGTCAAAAAGTCCGGAGGGCGTGCGACTGGCCAGGGACACGCATGTTGTTTTTGTTTTGGAACCCGTCCAGTCGGATTGGGTTGCCTGGGTATGATTTGTTTTGTTTTGGATTCTGTACGTATAGCTGACCATGACTAGCGACACTGTTTGGAAAGAACCAGCGGTTGGACTGGGTTGACTGGGTGTGACTTGCTTTTGCTTTGGGATCCGTACATGTAGCTGACCATGGTTTGAAGGCGCTAGCTAGCAAGCCAGAGAGCAACTGGTGACTTTGTACTACAACTTGAGTACGCGGAGCTATCTGTGCAGCTAGAAGCTGAGAACTGGCGACTTTGTAGTACAACTTTCGTACGCGGATGAATCATCTCTCGCTGGTGAGTCATCTCTTGCTCCTGAGTCATCTCTCGCTGCTGAGTCATCTCTCACTGCTGAGTCATCTCTCGCTGGTGAGTCATCTCTCGCTGCTGAGTATCTGGGGAGCTGGAAAATGAGAACTGGCGACTTTGTAGTACAACTGTAAAGTACGCGGAGTATTTGGCAAGCTGGACAATGAAGACATGATTTTGACTTTGAAAACACCACCCACTTCGCGCGCCCGCACCAGCTGCACTTAACTTTCGCTTGCAGATGCCCAGTTGCTTCAGCACGCCGGTGTGGGCTGGTGATCTTGCTTTGGCATAGACACAACCCAGTGCGCTGTTGTGAGCTGCTGATCCTGCAGGGAGCACAGACCTTGCACAGGTGGCGCTGTGTGTGTGTGTGTGTCCACCTCTGTAACTAAGAGTTTCTGTTTTTTCTCAACTTTTAAGTCGCAGGGGGGGCAGAGAGGACTTGCAAGGCTCTGCCCAACGAAGCTCCTTGCAAGATCCTAGGAAGCGGAAGCTGATCACTTCCGTGTACCTGCGCCACAACTGTTGCTCAAGCCGTTCCACTTTCTGCCTTTTTGTTTTATGGTGTTTCACGATACCACCCCCAAACAGGTTTCTCTCAGCAGCCGTCCGCAGATTTGCACCGTTTTGCAGCCGTATCTTCTGAATGCGATTGGAAACCATGTTTCAACCATACTGTTTCAGCTGACTTTTCCACCTTGCGGTTCTTCGCCATCCTTCCCATCGTGGTAACTGAGTTAACTGAAAACCAATGTCAGAGTGTGTTTCGCTCAGCCGTCCCACTCGGGTGCTGAGTGTGATCCCCGTCACAGGGGCGCTGTTTTTGCATAGGAAATCATCCACCCCAACTTACCACCTGCCACTGGATTTCCACTGGAAGTCATTGACACATCCATCGAATCAACTGATGCATTGGCCGCCGGGCCCAAACACGGCAGCTTTTCCTCCACTGAATTTTGTAGCGTCTTGCAAGGGTTTTGCATGATTTTGCATGTAGTTGCTCTTTGATGTGTGACATGACTTTGGATTTACTGAATTTGATGCCGTCGGGCGAACGAAACACCTCCACTTGCATCTCCACTTGCATTTCCATGTGCTGCATTTCAATGTGAGGAATTGCGACCAGTGAAGCTACTGTCCACACTTGCACTTCCACACCCCCCCCACCTTGCAACCTAATTCGTGTTTCTATCCCACCCGCTATCTAGGGTAACAGAAGGAAATGGTACTCGACACACTTGTGTGTCGGTACCTTTCCTTCTGTTTCTCTTTTTCTACTCCTAGCTACCCGGGCGGTTTAAGACGTATGTCCCGCTCGCTAACTACTGCATTTAATTCATTCGGCTAAGTAGTCAGTAACTAGCAGGTTTCGTAACTAGTGGGCCTTGTCACTACACCTATCTTTCTCTCTTTCCTTTGCGTTTTCCTTTCTGTCTTTCTTTCCTTTCGTTCTAAGGCTTTTTAGGTGATTAGTAAGTTCCCCCAGAGCGCCGATATCGGCGTTCTGTGTGTGTCCACCTCTGTAACTAAGAGTTTCTGTTTTTTCTCAACTTTTAAGTCGCAGGGGGGCAGAGAGGACTTGCAAGGCTCTGCCCAACGAAGCTCCTTGCAAGATCCTAGGAAGCGGAAGCTGATCACTTCCGTGTACCTGCGCCACAACTGTTGCTCAAGCCGTTCCACTTTCTGCCTTTTTGTTTTTATGGTGTTTCATGATACCACCCCCAAACAGGTTTCTCTCAGCAGCCGTCCGCAGATTTGCACCGCTTTGCAGCCGTATCTTCTGAATGCGATTGGAAACCATGTTTCAACCATACTGTTTCAGCTGACTTTTCCACCTTGCGGTTCTTCGCCATCCTTCCCATCGTGGTAACTGAGTTAACTGAAAACCAATGTCAGAGTGTGTGTCAAAAGTCTGGAGCGCATGCGTTTGGCTCAGTGAGGGACACGAGGGACACGCATGGTGGAGAGAACGTGGACACTCCTATAGGTCAATTTCTTCTTATAGGAAACTTCCGCCGCCGGCTCGCCGGGAACTACTTGTATAATTACTATCATTTACTCCCAGGAACTGCTGGAGCATGAAGAAAACCTGTCTCTCTTTACCCTTTGGTCAAGGTCTGTCAACTGAGCGTAGTGTCAATGCTGCCTGATTTTTAACGTAATGCACCTGAGTGATGCAGCACCTCTGAGCACACGACGAAGCGCTTCACCCGTCACAGGGCAAGTCCCACTTTTCTGCAACCACCTGAGGCTTTGGTCTCCAGCCAAACGAAACACCAGCGCGATTTGCTGAGTTTTGCCGCTGTGGCCCTAGGTGTGTGACCTCGCTAATGTGGAACGCTCGAAGACCAACCCACCTGCCATGCCACTGGCCCTCTGAAAGAAAAATGTGTGCAAACAAAATCATTCTTCACTTCAAACCGAGCCCTGTCCCTTCCTGGAGATACAACAGGGTCACAAAGCAGCTTCTGGTCAAGAGCGCATCGTAAATCCTGCGTTCGGCCATTGCTGAAATACTCTGCCGGCGATGATCAATGATCGAAGTCAGAGTTTCCTAACCTATTGACTTGACAAAAGGAAGTGCAAAATGGCCAGCGGTTTACCCATACCCTCAACCACATCAAATCCAAATCGTCTGCTGTCCTTCGGCGCATTCTGCACAATATCGCGCAGTCCTAATTCTGGACACTCACTACAGCCATCCACAGCATAAGGTCCGAACTTTCTTCTGCTTGTTCTCGTATATGCTTCACATTGCTTCACTTGTTTTCCGTACATTGTTGTCGATGTTCTCTGAGTCCCCCCTTCCACACCTGGTTTCGCTGGCGGCGGCTCTGCTGGCACCACTTTGGGTGCCGGCACTGGGGCCGTGCCAAAAAGAGCTAGCCTGGCTTTTTGAGATTCATACAGTCAGTACAAAAATCCTGATATCTACCACCAATAAAGTATTCACATGTGCTACAGTAAAGGAAGTCTGTCACAATCCAACTCCAAACGCTTTGAATAGAGAACACCCACAAGCAAAGGAGTTCATAGTACAGTCAAATGGATTCAGCGATCCAGCAGAACAAACTGCCGTGACAAAATAAGGCAGCATCACAGGTTGTCACCCGCTGGTGTAAGCCTGATATGTCCCATCACAGTGCAGTACACGGCCTTTCTTATCTTGGTTCAACGATGCTGCGACACAGCTAACCGTGTTCAATCATTGTATTGTGTGAGCTCTCTCCGTCACAGAAGCATTGGTTTTACATCTTCACCTCTTCCCTCCTCAGCTTATGGCACTAAGCCATAGCGGTCATGTCCTTACAGGATCGCACCATGGGAGCGGTCGTCACCAAGCCGAAACGCATCGTATCCCCGATCATTAGGTAGCACCCAATGGAGGCTCCCAATAGCCCTCTCATCTGTGCTCCAGGCGTGTAAGACGCATTCGGGCTCTTGCAATGTCATCTGCAGGCAAAAGACCTCGCCATCATCATGTCGCAGTTGTTGGAAGAAATCAATGATCCAGGTGCCCGCGGATTTGGAGTGGAAGTGGATCCATCCAAGGTATTCTGTCTGAGAGGCAGCAGGTCACAGATTGGAAGGACTGAGTATCAGGCTGATGTACTCACTGAATCTTGGACTCACATAGTCCAGATCCTTGAAGAAGGGCGGGTCTGTTTTTCAAGGCGCTGGTAGGAGGTTTGGTGCTATGTTCAATTTGTACCCCTTTCAAGGGGACCGTCCACTTGGAAGCTGGCGTGTGCTAGCATGGATTAGCTTGGGATCCCCAAACACCTTATGGTTAAAAGCTTTGCTGTAATTAAATTTAAATAGTAATTATATATGTTTGTATAAGGTCTGGAGCCCTCAGGTCTTCAACACACATTCATCGCCAGTTGCAGCAGCAAACCTAAGGCTCCTGCGCCCACATTGCAGGCCAATGCACCCAAAGCAGCCAACGTGGCTGCTCGGTCGCCCACCTCGATTTGCCCAGAAAGAGAGAAAAGGATGACAGGGCCTACTCGAATGCTTTAGATAGGAAACTCTGAACGGGACACGCCACACCAACAGCAATGGCTACATCGGCAGACCACAGGACCTGTGCTTAGTGGGTGGATGCACGCAAAACCATTGGGCAAAACCTGTCCCAGTGTTCCTAGCAAGGAGCACTGGAAAAAGACATACTAGTGACATTGTTTGTGGATGTTTGTGGACTCCGAATGGCAATTGAATGCGTTGGATCCCACAGGAACGATTCCAAAAGGCAGCGCATCTGATTCCCACCTCAGCGCAGCCCAGGTTTGGAGCGTCACAGCAGGTGGTCACCAGCAATCGGCAGCTAAGCCTCAACGGTGAGGAGCTGAGGCCAAAGTGCTCAGGATCTAAGCCGCAAAGAGGTTTCGAAGTCGCCAAGTTGCAGGGGAAAGTTACACAAGCTGTAAGGATGCTTTTCCGAACCGGCTCAATCGAGTCAAAATGTCCACACGTTTGGGTATGAAATGGTAACCTGGGGCCTCGTGCGTGAAGTGGTCGTCGGAGCACCCTTCAGCCCTGCAGCATCAGTGAGGGCTCAAGTCGGGAAACCGGGGGGAGATGTCTTCATTTTGGTGGCCTGTGCCGGAGCACCCCCTAGACCCACGTCAGCCTTGTAAGTCCAAGCAAACCAGAACTACCAGCGAAGAGGTTGCCTCATTCCTCAAGTGTGCCAGATCCACCCGGAGTTGGTGGAAATGGCTAACAGTTTGAGCAGCCGGCAATCCACTCTGTGAAACCAATGCCGCAGCCAAGCAAGCACAACCTCAGCAAGGCAAAGCAGTGACGTCATACTTCGGCTCCAAACCCAAAGAGCGTGAGTAGAATTGCACTACCCTTGTGTCTGGAGGACATGATATCTGTTCATTCTCTGTGTAGTGTACTGTCGTCTCTCTCCAGTCTGCTATCAGCTCCTGGTGTCTATGTACTAGCCCGCCCTTGAAAGGTACGGAAAAAAGGATCAATTCGCATGCGTGCTTGCTCCCTCTCCAGCTATTATGGGCATGGCAGTATGGTTTTCCTTTTGAGGAGACTCATCTTGCGCGAGTGGAATGTGAACCCAGCACCAAGCCTCATACCAACGAAACCTTTGCTGGGCCCTTTGACTTGCAAGCAGCTCGCGAAGGCTGATATTGCTGTCAAAGCCTTGTGCAAGGACCGCCTGCGAGTTTGCGTCAAGCATTGTATTCTGGCGTGCTTGCTTTCAGCAACTATGAACAGAATCAAGTACTTGCAATGCGGCTTCCTGGGGGTCGGATGCAACATTCATTCACATTCCCCGAAAACTGTAAAATAGTTGTATATATATATATACAGTGTGTATATATGTATATTATTGTAATATATATATATACATCATATGTTATATTATGTTAGATTATATTGTATTAGATATTATATATATATTATTTATATACATTATTTATAAATATATATATATATTAATATATATATTATATTACATATATTATACTATATATATATATATTATATGTATATATATATATGTGTGTGTGTGTTCTGCTTTTTCAGAACAAATAAGCTTTGAACCTTTGTAAAATGCCTCTTCTGTAAAACAGATTCCCAAAACACAAAACCCTAGGTGTGCAAACAGCATGTGGTTCCCTGGCGCCTCAAGCAGGCGACCTAGCTTGTCCGCTATTCGATGCACCTAGCTTGTTCGATCAGTGCTCGGATGGTCGAGGGGAACCCGTCAGGCTTTAAAGCTTACCGACTCTTGTTGCCTCTACGTGATGAGCACCACCCCACACATGTCTGAGGTCGACGCATGTGCTCGGAGTTTCAACAAAGGCGAATGGGGAACCTCTCGGGTTGGTGCGGCCACCTTGGATCGTGGCCGGATGAATTGCAGACCCACAAATACCATGTTGTAGAATGTTCCTGTGAATTTCTTGTACAAAGTGGGGATTCAATTTGATGGTGAATTTATTTCCAGGGCTATTGAGCTCAACTCAGGAAAGCCTGGTCATTCAAGGCAAAGGGTTGCATTTCATTTAGAACGGTGCTGAATCAAGAGACCTCCCTGGTCCCGGTGCTGTGTTGCAGCGTTTCGCGCATGGACGCCGCACGTATTCATTTCACACATTGACTTCCGACATAATCCATGTGACAGTACGGGTATTTTTTTTGAACCATCCATATTAGTTCCGCAGAAATCACCATGCCAAAGTCTTGGATAAAAAGCCCTTGTTTGAAGTTAATGACAACAATTTTGAAAACGACTCAGGTGAATCTCCAAGATCTCTCTTTTGTCCGAAGGTACCGGCGCCAAAAGTGAGGATAAGAACTGAAAGAACTTGAAACCAGTCGCTGCACCTGAGCATCTGTACATCTGTAGCTTCGACTGATCCTCAACTCTGGAGTTCGATAAGGTTGATTTGGATTCTGAAGGGAAAATGTAATTGCTTTTATTTGAGCTGCATTAAAAACTGATCGTGCTGGTGCTCTCCAGTTTCCTATTCCATCCATCAATTTGTCGAGCAATGTTTATTATGACTGTGTTGCGTTCAATTCTTCCATTGCAGTTGATAAAGTTGGGCTGATAATAGCGTGAATTTCTCCAGCACCTTTGAGTTCCTTAACACATTCAATGAGTGCGCTTTTATCCGCATCATGACGCTTTCATACATTCTCTTCAAAATGTCAAACCTAACATGTCTGTCGACGTCGAACCGGACCCACCCTCCTCCCAAAGCAG